TGGCCTTGGGTTCTTTGTAAGGCCGTGTTCGCCTCTCTTTTCTCTCGTCGACCAGGAAAAAGAGACTCGCCAACCCCGGCGCTTCGGCCTCTTGTTCATTGAGAAAAAAAAAGAAAAGAAAGAAAGGAAAAAAAAGAAGGAAATACTCCGCGTGCGCTTCTGGAAGAGAGGTCATCTCTCTATCCGAAATCCGGGAAAGTTCCTACGGTGGAGGATTGGGTTCCAAATTCTCCCGTGGTTGTTTTTCTCCTCCCACCGATTCCTTGGAAGTTGGACTGAAGCAGAGTTCGGAAAGAAGGAAAAGTTTGCATCGGGACTGGATTTATTTGCACATCGCAGAAAAGAAGAGAATCTAGAGGAGAGGGGTTGGTGCAGAGCCGCGATCACGGTGAGGAGCATTTGGCTTTTCCCCTCCTGGAGCCACAGCCAGCCGCGAGTGGGGTCAGGGTTCTTCTCTCCCCTTAAACCCGTAGGCTTCCCGGGAGGATCGGGAAGCAGCCCGGCGGATCCGTTTTGCCTAGGACAGGGGTTCAGCCACGGCCGGGCTGCAGGGTGCGTCGGTGCAGTGTCCCCCACCACGGGACACCGCTCTCCCTTAGGGGTTCGGGGCGGAGAACGGCTCCATTGCCTCCTGCTCCTACCTCTGCCTTGGCGGCGATCTAGTCGCTGAGAGCCCTGGTTTATCCAGGTCGCTCTTGGAGGCTCTAACATTTGCTAACCTGTTCCTCCTCGGTATAAGGCCAAGTTATAGGGAAGCCTATCCTGCGACGGGGGGCGCCTGTGGGGCTGGGGTACTGGATTCCTCACCTCACCTCACCGGGGCAGAAGACCCGGCAGACAAGCAGAGTAGGTTGCCAGGCGGAGGGAGTCCCCGCCTCTGCCCGGTGTGGACAGTCTAGCCGGGTGCGGGTGGGAGCGTCGCCCAGCCTGGCGCCGCGTCTCTGCGGTTCGGAAGTGCGGCTTTCTCTTTTTTCCGTTCTCCATGGTCGGCCTGGGTCATGCTTTTTTCTTTTGGACGCTTGGGCTGACCTAGCACAGGAAGAGAGTTATCAAGTGGTCGCGATCGTTTTCCATTACCTGAAAGTAGGTGACTTTAAAAAAAAGAAGAAAATTTTTGTGTTACTGTTTTTAAGATTTGGAGTCTTAACGCGTTTTTTACAAAGGGGTTTCTGTGTCGGTTTGCCCCACCCTAGTGCTGAAGTCCTTTTCCCCTAATCCTTAGTCTGCTCACACACTGTTCTTAATGGGGGTTTCAAAGCACTCAGAGGGGGAGGGAGAGGAATTGGGAGAGCGCAGAGGGGTGGAGGGGGCCTGCGAGGGAGACGGCCAAGGAACGGTAGAAATCACTTTTTTTTCCCCCACGATGCTACTTCCACGGCAAGTCCTCTCGGAAAGTTTCCAATCCCAGGGGTCCGAGTCCTGCACGCCTGGCGTGTGCAGTGGGGCTCTGGATAAAGCTTTATTCTTTCGGTTTAAGAAATATGTCTTTTTCTTGATCTAAAAGGAGGTAGGCGTGTGCAGATTGCAGACAGTGCTCGCTTCGGTCATTGCACGTTGGAGTTTCTCTTGGAGCGTGGGTGCATAGACTTCTGTGCAAGCTGTGCGTCCCGGCCCGGCTCTTCCTCCAGGCGTCGGATTTGGAAACTTGTGGGGACAGGCGTTTTGAGGGCCTTCGCAGAAACACCTTGTGGTGACCTTGCTGCAGGGGTGGGCGTGTTGGAGTGGCTCCCCCTCTTGGGACTGGCTGGCAGTTCTCTTGGGTTGGGGGAAATTTTAGCTGAGGGGGTGGAGGAGGGGAAAGTGTGCTCGTGTATTTCACGACACGTCCCCTTCGGAGGCGCCCTTGCCCCCTGCCTGCCTGAGCTTCTGGGGTTTGCTCGCAGCAGGGACCGGCCTGGCCCCTCGAAGCGTCAGTCAGCCTGGAGAAAAGTCCCCGGGGTTCTGACTGAGTCCCACCTGCTGAGGACTGTGTGGGGGCGCAGATAGAGCCGATAAACGGAGTGAAAGCAAAGAACAGCCTTGTGTACCTGGCCGTTGGAGGTGAGCAGATCGGTTTCCAGCTCTGCCTTGTTCTGAATTAGGAGGCGTTTGTCACCTGCTTTGTTCGCTGTCCTTTTCCAGAAAGCAAAGGTTGGATTAAAAGTCCGTTTTTGCTTATTTTCCTTCGTATTTTTCTGAGGGCTTGGGAGAGGGTGGTATTTTTAAAATCTAAGTCTGATTGTAACTTAAGCAATTGCTTGATAGAATGACAGGTTCCAGCCATGACTCTACGGGTTTTTAAACCTTTTCCTACTGCTGTTTCTGCTGGGTATTTTTTTGTGTGTGTGTTGCTGGCTATTTTTCAAAACGAGGAAATAAAGTGTTGTGGGTTTTTTTTTTGCATGCTTTATTTATGAAACAGGGAGAATAACTGGGATTGAGAATCTAAGGCTAGAACCGTAGGCCTGTAGAATATGTAATCCTCGAGCTGTGGGAAATGTATTTTGCTCTTTGGAGTTTGTTGTGATACCTAATGGGAATCGAAATGACTTTATTTTAATTCTATAACTTCGTACAACTTTATTTAAAAAATGCAACCTTAATTGTCCTCGGAATATACTTTCATATCATATGGGATTGGGAAAAGGTACTGCTAGACAGCTCGTGCTGCGTGACGTAAAAAGCTGACTTAAAGCGAGACTGTTGGAGGAACTTATTTCTGTTGAATGTGAGAACGATCATGACAAATTTAGACCCGTTTGGAAATCTGAAAGGTGTTTGATCTCTGAAAATGTTGATAGGACTCCCTGCAAGGCTCCAGCGTTTGCTTTCTTCCAGTTCTTAACATTGAACCCGGGCCTTCTAAATTGTGTCTATTTGATTAAAGGCTTGTTACTTAAGTGACCCTACAAAGATTAGCTTTGTGTCACTGCACATTTTGAGATTACAGGATTGTAGTGTCCGGCCATAATTTTCACTTTTGAGTACTTGCCCTGACCATTTGGCTGTTCTACCTCACGCCTGCTGGTGCCTTTCCAGTCCCGGGGCGTGTGGGAAGTGAAGAGTCAACTCTGGTGGGTGGAGAGTGGGAAGTCTTAAGAGTGTAAACCATTTTCTTTCCTCTTGGTTTCCCCAGGAGTTCAGATGTGTTCTAAGCCTGCTGGAGTGAACACACTGCCAAGACCTGATGGAGGCCAGAGCTCAGAGTGGCAGCGGGTCGCAGCCTCTGCTGCAGGCGCCCCATGACAGTGGCAGGCAGCGTGGGGAGCCGGACCCCAGAGATGCCCTCATGCAGCAGGTACACGTCTTGTCTCTGGATCAGATCAGAGCCATCCGAAACACCAATGAGTACACAGAGGGGCCCACCGTGGTCCCAAGACCTGGGCTCAAGCCTGCTCCTCGCTCCTCCACTCAGCACAAGCATGAAAGACTCCACGGTCTGCCCGAGCACCGCCAGCCTCCCAGGCTCCCGCCCACGCAGGTTCATTCTTCAAGGGCCCCTCTGTCCAGGTCCATCAGCACCGTCAGCTCAGGGTCTCGGAGCAGTACAAGGACAAGTACCAGCAGCAGCTCCTCAGAACAGAGGCTGTTAGGATCTTCCTTCTCCCCGGGGCCCACTGCTGATGGGATAATCCGGGTGCAGCCCAAGTCTGAGCTCAAACCCGGTGAGCTTAAACCACTGAGCAAGGAAGACTTGGGTCTGCATGCCTACAGGTGTGAGGACTGCGGCAAGTGCAAGTGTAAGGAATGCACCTACCCGAGGCCCCTGCCATCGGACTGGATCTGTGACAAGCAGTGCCTTTGCTCGGCCCAGAACGTCATTGACTATGGGACTTGTGTGTGCTGTGTGAAAGGTCTCTTCTATCACTGCTCCAACGACGATGAGGACAATTGTGCTGACAACCCGTGTTCTTGCAGCCAGTCTCATTGTTGTACTCGATGGTCAGCCATGGGTGTCATGTCTCTCTTTCTGCCTTGTTTATGGTGTTACCTTCCAGCCAAGGGTTGCCTTAAGCTATGCCAGGGGTGTTATGATCGAGTGAACAGGCCCGGATGCCGCTGTAAAAACTCAAACACGGTTTGCTGCAAAGTTCCCACTGTCCCCCCCAGGAACTTTGAAAAGCCAACATAGCATTATTAATCAGGAATATTACAGTAATAAGGATTGTCTCTCCACCTTTTCCTTTTTTTAACACACATATGCAACCAACTAAATACACAGCTGTAATCTCGGCCCTGTTCATAGAGGGATAGAGTATTTGTCGT